AAGTTCTAATAGTCTTTAGGTTATAATAGGTTATAATCTTTAGATCATAATAGTTGCTTTCAATAGAAGAAACAAAGCAAAAATATTGTTAATCCCTGATTAACTTTATGAATATTTAGGTAATTTAAAAAGGTGTATAACTAAACTAATACTTTTTTATGCTACTCTACCAGTGAAAGAGATCTAAACATAAGAGAAAATGAAGACGTAGTAACTAACATACAGCAGGAGCTCATTTTGCCATAGTATTTTAAGGAAGAACACAGGAATCTCATCACGCATTCTGAAAAGTGAAGCTTTTGACTTCTTTGTTACAAGTGAACAATCATTTACTCAAACTACAAGGACTTCTAGCTTTCCCCCACTTAGAGCACAATTACAAACAAAACCACCTAGTTCCAAAGGACAAATGTCTGCATTAGACTAGTCCCCCGCAACATACAAATATCTCCAAAAGATAGAAAAGGGAATTGAATTTATCATTTTTGTAAACCTCACACAGCAAACACTGTGGATCACATCAGTTTCTGCAGCTTGCCAGTGAATTGTCTAAGATAATTCTTATGCTCCCATGGGAGAAAAAAAGAGAAAAACAGACATTCTCCTTGCCGCTCCATAACGTACCTTCTTCATCGACTACCATGAATGTTGGCTCCTCTTTTCCTTGTTTGTTCACCAGCTGAACCATACCTTGGTATGGCAGCAGGGAACAGAATACGCCTATCACACTTCCATTCTAAATATGTGCTGTAATTGCTTATGAGATTTTTGTCTGGAAATTTTTATTCTCAATCTACAAATTGTATTAATGTTCTATTACGGGGTGTGTGGGTTGTATCTGGGGAACCCTGTTGCTAGTCAACCTGTGCACGTTGATTGTCCAAATCGTAAGTTCCAGGGGAACACACTGATTTTTCTTTAAATACATGTTTTATCAACTTCTGTTTGATCATTCTTCAAATTATATCTGTTTTAGAAGAGTCCAGCAGGACTCATGGAAGGACTAAGCTCTGTAAAAATGCTTCTCATTTTAACTCACAGGTAATGTTACTTCTTGACTGTGCATCCAAGGGGAGACAATAGAGCACTCTGAGCAAGAAAAAGTAAAGGGGAAATAAGTATGTTTACACCAGTACAGAGCAAGTCAATAATTGAGTCTTGCCACATTAAGAAAGAAAACTTTAGGAAGGGAACTGCATAAGGTTAAAAAAAAAAAGTCATTAGTATTCTTTAGCTCAATCCCCATCCCCAAAAATCTCAAGACCCACAAATAAACAGCCAACACACTGCAGATTTCATGAATAAAGAAACAATATATGTGAGGAGAACATAAAGACTGAACAAGCATGCATAACAGGAAGTAATGCATTTACAAAAGGCAAGGGAAGATTAGATATCAAGGAAAAGTTTTCTACTACTTAAAGCAGGACATTACAACAGAACAGTAGTCAAGAAGGGGTCACTGGGTCCTGCCACTGAAAACAGATTAGACATGAAAGGAATAAGTCACACTGAGAGCACGAACTTGCTAAGAGCATTTTTTCAACCCTAAGTAACATGGCCGTAAATATATACGGGTTCAGAGTAAAGACTACTGAACTGTAACCCTTACACTCCACTGACCTGTTTCAGAGTTCTGGGTAAATCACTTGATCTCACCACACCTGTTTTTCCAGCTGTGAAACACCAGCAACATCTATTACACAGGGACCTGGGGAAAAGTTTCACACTTAAAACTGCAAGACTGTAGGACACAAGAGTTTGTGTGCCTGAAAAGTTTGTTCCTTACCTCCCATATCAATTTGTCTAACAGTTTATCATACCCCTAGCTACAAACTTTATCTTATTATTTTCTCATAAAGTTATATTATTTTCTCATACTGTTCTGCAGTAGCTGTGGTTTTAAATGTTAACATGAGAGCAACTTAACAACTCTAGCACCTAAGAATATGTCAACATCCTACTCAACAGATTTGTTTACTATCTTTTTTCAGAAGCCTGTTTACTTGAATGACAATGTTTTAATGCATTTTACCCCACTTAATCCCACAGAGCTAGAAATGATGAGCTGGAAATGCTCTTCCCTATCTTGGGAAATACTGAATTGTTTACTAAATCGTAGCCTACCAGCTAAAGCTATGCAGCCCTTCTGAAGACAATGCATTTCCCCAGCCCACGAGGACATAAACAAAACTGCACCATTAGTTGAACAGCAGTTGACTCCAAAACATGTGATAGCAAAATTTTACAAGCTGTAAAACAAAGAATTTGGTTCTCACGTGTGAGGCTCGGGTCATAGTTTGCGCAGTATAGCTTTTCAATTTGATAAGGGAATCACTGAAAAACAAAGCAGGGACCCTTATCTATTGTGCCATTGCTGAAGACCCTTTTCAGCATAAGGGTATTTGTCTGCTGAAGCCTGAGGCACGAATGAACGCATAAAGAATGCAAATCTAATTTTCATTCAGTGTTCTACTTTAAGAAGAAAATGCAGTTGAATGAAAAGTAGAACTTGCTTAAGCCATTGTACTGTCCTCTGCTAAGAGTTCATTAGTAAATTAACAATACTTTAAAAGAAGCAACAAAACGAGAAAATAGTGATGGCCCATGGCTTGAGCAGACGGACAGATCTGCATTCAGAAAACATCCTGAAGAAGTGACAAAACGTATTCTGCTTGAGCAGCCATCATTTAAACAAAGCTGCAGGTTCTATTTTACTTGCTTGACAGCTCATGTACAACAGACAAGGAAAACAGCAGCCCCTGACAAAAGAAAAAGTAATGACAATGATAAGGGTTTGATCTAACAGATAAGCACAAATGAGGTCCCCTTAAAAACTGTCACCTGAAACAAATGGACTATCAAAAAGTTGAGAACTCACCAGTTAAAATGCTGCTGCTCTCATTAATTCATTTTCCACCTGACTGTCATTTCTTCTACTAGGTACCATCAAAACACAGTTAATTTTTAAAGCTGAAAGGATAGAAGACACTGCTTTTGGTTTGGGGCACTTTCTGTCATATTCAATAGACTGCTTTTAAATCGAAAATAAACTGTAAGTGCTACATTTTTTTCACAACAACTCAGCACGGTCCTAACGAAGTTGCTGTGCTTCTGTCACCCCCTAACATTCCTTCAGCTACTTCTACGTAACTGGTTGCAGCAATCCCAAATTACTCATTTGGGATGCAAAGTCTAAGAAATAAGAATAAGGGGGCCAGAGCACGGAAGTTCTGACAATTGATGTGGTCAAAACCAGCTACACCGGTGCAAAATTTCTTAACAAAAATGCCTCGGTCCCACAAAACACCACACCACACTGTTAATATTTCACTGCAAACGTACACAGGGATCATTGCTTTTAATTACGAAGTATTTTTACTTTGCCTTGCAGTTTGCCTTTTACTTTCTGGTCATGCTTCATATTTTTAGAGTAAAAATATATGGACAATTACACAGATGCCATCATACAATGGGAAAAATAACTGAAATGCTAGCACCGAGGATGGAGGTTTCTTCTGCATTGTTTAATTTCTGCCACTTTGACAAACCAAATCCTCAGCATTTTCAACAATCATTCATCTTTTCTGGTTACCAAATTATACCTCTGCAGGAATTAAGATTTTGAAGCACAGAGGTCTAGCAGGAAAAAGTAAATTTAGTTGGGAACACACTATAACAATTGGGATGAGGGGAAGGAAGAGAAGAGAAAAAAAATCACTCTGGGAAAAAAACAAAGGAAAACAGAAAGAGGATCTAAGTAAACCAATTCATTGCTACCCTGGAATTGTCTCAAAAATTCAGACTCAGGTTGCCAGAACTCAAACGCTGTGTGAAACACATACTTCTCAGGAAGCCAAACAGGTGAAACTGAGCTAAAATAAAAATTAAAGACACCATACCTTTTATGTATGTGTCCAGAAAATCAAGACTATAAAAATCATCACATCCAATTTTTTTTTAAGTCAATTCATGTAAGCAACAATAGACTCACAAAATCTCCTGCTATTTCACTGGTTTTCTGTCAGGCCTCCAAAAATCAGCATTCTTCCACTTTACCCTTCATATTTAGTAGGTACCAGATGAGCTCTGCTTTCTAGATCATGGCTTAGGAAAATGCTTCCTCCAGATTTTTTCTTGAGGGAAATAAAAAAAAAAAAAGTACTGGTGATTGTAAGCATTCATGTCTTCTACAAGAGAGGGGAAAAAAAACCCAACCCAAACACAACTGGGCATTTTGTTTGAACCCCAAAAACTTAAGCCAGATCAGAAAACCTCAAACCATTATTACTAGTGTAATAGTAATATTACACTATTACTAGTGTAATAGTCAATTATTCTAGTATAAAGACATTTGCTATTAAAACATCATGGATGACATTTGTTCCATTTGATGTCTGTATTTAAAAAAAGTCTAACTATATTTTGCTTTTGCATTAAAACACCTATTTAGAAACCGGGACAGTTAAAATTCTATTCTCCTAGTGTATAGTATATAATAACTAACTATAGCTTCCAAACGGGCACTGAACACCACTATATTCTATTTATATGCATACAATTTATTTAAACTAAGACTGTGGTCAGGTGCTGCCAGGGGGTCCAATGTTCTTGCTGTCACTCAAGGTGAGGAAAGAAAAAGCAATCCATATTGGCAACAGCTGATGCTGTATTAGAATGGAAAGCTGCAGTGTCAACTGCTCTAAGATGGTCCCATAATTGGGATAAAACTCTGCCCCACCACAAACCTTTCTCTCCCACCCTCCCAAAACCAGTCACGTTTTGACACAGGCATACATTTTTGACCAACAGATCTATGGCGTGTACAAATAGAAGACTTCGAAATGTACTTTTTTCCAATATAGTCTGTAGTAATCTCCAAGTGAGTGTTCGGATTTGTCATGATCTTCACATACACAGAATCCTACAGTATTTTTTTGTAGAGTATGGGATAGGTATTCTATTAACGGCTGCTGTAGTAAAATATTTGAATCCACACATAGAAAAACTGTATTTAATATTCATGTTTACATAAAGCACTTAACAAGAACAGACTAGAATCTAATGCTCAGAGACCATCTTTGAATGCTTTCAGTAGCAGGTCGGCTGCCAGCCCAGGAGACAAGACACCACTAAGAACTTTTTCTTCTAGAAGTGGAATCTTATCCTTGACTGCCAAGTGACTCCGGAAATGTTCCAACATATTTTCTTGGATGAGATTCCACATCCACACTTTCTGCTGTTTCCGTCGTTTGGCAATCAACTCACCACTTGTGAGCATGAGGTCACGAAATTCTGTCATTTTATCCCACATATCTGAGATACCTTCTCCAGTTTTGGCAGAGATGCGCATTACCTGTTGGATTCAGAAGAATTTTTAAAGCCAAGTAACTACTGGGCTTGAGGGTTCAATTACTACATCAGGTAGATTGCATGAAAATTAAGAAATGCATAAGGCAAGCTTACTTCAATACCCTCACTTCATGAAGCTCTAAGCAGTTTTGTGCTGTTTTTTTTTTAAAAAAATTATCTCAAAATTGGGATTCTACCAACTATAAGTAGACCCTGAGATCCATAGTATTCGGGATAAACAGGCCTTGTCCAACTGCTTGTATAATGAGTGAGAATCATTTTAATAAGTCCTTTAGCTGAAAGGTACAGTGTTTTACTTAAATGTAGAGTTAATTACATATTCTGGTAGACATACTCTGGTAGCTACTCTTTTGCACTTAAAATATTCCAGAAAGGAGGTATTTCGACAATTTTTTGCATTTGCTTTCCAGACTAGGAATTCATTTTGCCAAAAATATTTCAGGCATCCAACATGATCTTTTAAATGGAACAGGTTTGTGTGTGTTTGGTTTTTTTTTTTTGAAAAGTCTCTCTCTCTTTCCCCAATCTAATGGCTAGAATACAGCCCCTACACATCACTATTTCCTTTCTTTCAGTTGTCAGACACTGCCATCACGGAAAGAGAGAGAGATTTCTGATAACCTGTATAATCCACTGGTCTCAAACAGTTCTTTTGGGTCACGTTTATCAGATGTGACCTCTCATCAGATCTAGAAACAAAAATTACAAGATGATGGCTAAGCCTCAAGCAGCCCAGCTGATTTAAACTTAATTCACTGGGCCAATTTTAATACCAGGGTAGAGCAAACCTCCTTTATATGTACACGTATATAAATACAGGGATTGAGAGTGTGTGTGTGCGCTTATTTTATACACACATATTAAAAATTAGTACTGAATCTTTTCCTTAATAATTTGCCATAACCTTTTAATGGATGGAATACTACCTTAAAACTAAAGGCCCACAGGATAAGAATTCCAATAATCTAGACATTGCATACACAAGTAGATGAGGTTCTTGCCCAAGAACTTTCATTATGTGAGAAATTAAAAAAAAGTAAAGCAATAAAGGAAACACATCAACAAGTGAAAGACCAAAGATAATCGTAGGCTTCAGAGTTATAAAAGAGGGAGAAATAGCTTATGGGACATTTTAAGATATGCATAGTTCACAAAAAGCAAGACAAGTTTGTACCACTACTGCTGTTAGTAATAGGTCTGCTAGTGCTGAGATTGTAGCTCAGGACAGAAATCATGGGGAGCAGGACTAGCTTTGCACAGTGTTTCATGTGGCGCACCTTGAGATCAGAGGTGAAACAGAAACAGCAGCAATCAACTCTCTAGCACAGTGTAAAACTAAACAACAGAACTGAAATTTTTATAAAAGAGCCCAGGGAGACGAGTATAGCTAGATGAGACACTAACAATCCTAACTCATTCAGCACTTTTTTGGGTGTGGCAGGCACAGGGGAGCAGGAACCAAACAAAAACCCCAAACACACCAACAAAACCCAGACAAACCCCCCCCACCCCCCCCCCCCCCCAACCCATAGTGAAGTAGACAAACCTTTGGTCTCCAAACCTTTGAACGTTTGCGAAGCAGCTTCATAGCACTAACATATTCAGCTTGTATTCTCCGTGCAGGCACAACTAAATCACCATCAGCTTTATTTATAGCAACTAGATCTGCCATCTCAATTATACCCCGCTTGATACCCTAAACGGAACATGGAGAGAAATCAAAACCCAGAAGGACTGTGACATGCTGATTTATCACAAAAAGCAGGTCAAAATGTTTTGTTAGTTTCTGGTGGCTCTCACTGACTTTTTTGTATGTGCATGTGTGTGTATGTGCTAGTCATGGAAGAGTAGTACCAATGGCCTCTGTCATTACTAGTTATTACTGTGACACAACAAAACTAAATATGGATATCAGAGTTTACGTGATAACCTATTTCATGTGTAGACACTTAAGTTTAACCAAAACATGACCAAGTTTACAAATCTATTTATGCTGATTTCTGTTTTCCTATAACGCAAAGCTACTCCCCAAAATCATATATAACTAGTAAATAGGCCAAAGTCAGAGAGGATAAAAATTTTACATATTTAGTGGGGTGGGGGGTGGGGGGGGATATCAGATCCTAACTGTGCAATAAATTGATACGATGCTGAAAAAGACTTCAATAGTAGCAGTGTAATTTACAAAACACTATTGATATGGACTTTCTGCACAGAGAGATACTACATCCTGGATTTCAGTTTCTCTTTCTAGTCCTAGGTAATACTTAATAAGAGAAACTGAAAAATACCTGTAATTCATCTCCACCTGCAGGAGGTAGCAGTAATATAAACATATCAACCATATCAGCCACAGCAAATTCTGACTGTCCCACACCTAAAAAATTAAATCCAGAGTTCACCATTTATTGCAAACTTTCAGTCATGTTAATGACAGTAATTATGACAGATTCTAGTATTGCACCATGAACAAATCCCACTAACAAAGACAACATGAAACACAACAGTTTTTACAAAACAGTGTTTTTACAAAACGTACAGGACTAGAAAATTGACAGAATGGGCATTCATTTTCAACCAGTAACCATGTATGAAAGCATGAGCAAAATCAAGTGTGAAAGTATGCAATTAGTAACACACCTCATTTAGATACCACAACAGGGTAATTAAAAGAAAACCCTAAGCACATACCTACTGTTTCCACAAGAACAACGTTGTAGCCTCCTCCTTCACACAGCAGAATGGCTTCATTTGTGGTCCTTGTTACACCTCCCAGCGTCCCTCTGGTTGGAGATGGTCTGATGTATGCATTCATGTCTCTTGACAACTCAGTCATCCGTGTTTTATCACCCAACAGAGAACCTTAAACATTTAATGTTAACTTATTTCAAAAGTGCAAAACAGCCAAACTTCTCCCCCTCCCAGCCCTGCCCCCCCCCCCATAAATGAGTGAGAAAAGACAGATCTCTTGGATGAAGTCAGTCAAGTAAGAATATCCCAATAATAGTCGCTCAAGATTTTGTTGAGGACTAGGAAGTTACTGCCTGGTTCTTCCGCCTATCAGAAGCTGGAAAGGCCTGATAAGCAGACCTTACTGCTACCAAATACGAAGAATATGTTCTAGGTCAGAATGAATCCTGCAATTCCTGAATGGCTTTTTGAGGCCTATACACAGCAGGCCACACAATTAAATCTTTGCTCTTTCTGTCCAAAGTGACAAATCTTTGCCTTATGATTCTGGTATTTGTTGATGGTGGATTTTTTGTTTTTTTAAGAAAGGTGACATGCACCCCGCCTTCCTTCTACTCATACAAACTTTAAATCTGATTCAGTGAGATCTACACGCACGATGCACAGTCCAAAAGATGAGAGATGCTCAATTCTTTTAACTGATGCAGTCTTGCTATCATATTTTGCTATTCTATTGATGCGTCTTGAATGTATGCATTCAAGAATATAGTCTTTCTTAGCTCCAGGTTATTGCAATGCTAAAGTGGTTTTTTTTTTTTTTCCTTTTTAAATAGTTACACATTGCAACATCTTCTCTGACAGTGTAGAACCTGGAAAAAGGAATGATGTTCCCTGGCAGCTGCCTGTTAGAAAAAAATAAAAATCAAGGTTT